CCACTGAGGATGGACTAGTGTTGTCCGAAAGCTCTGGTTCTATTTCTGGCTGTTTACTTACGTTTACTTTTTAGCTGTTGAGTAATTGTAAGTTAATAAATAAATTGGTAACCGTTTTCAGGGCCAGATGCGAAATCGTATTAGTGCTGAAGACAAAGTTAAACGAGCCATTACCGGAATGGAAAAAGGGGAAGTGGAAGCTAAATTTCAAAAGGTCATAAACTTAAAAACCGCTTGGAAATTGTGCTCAAATTTTGGAATCTTTCTTTTGACATGCGTAGTATTTTTAGTATTTTTTTTAAAGGAAAATCTAAGCGGTGGTCTCGGGTATGGTGATTAATTTGAGCTAGAATGAACCTTTTAATGTGTTTATTCATTTTAATTACAGTAAAGTACTGTGAATAATCTGAAGAGCTTGAAGGCCCAAAGATGAGTTTTGAATTTGTTATACCACTACAACAATCAGATTTATTGAAGGCAACAGGAACCAATCAGTATGTTGTAGAAGACCTTTGTGCTTCTAGGCAAATTGCTGATAAAGTGTTTGGTATGTTTACTATGTCATTTCTTATAAAATACAATTCCTAATTTGCTGATATTCCACCCTGTTTTGTTAATCATTTATACACATAAAAATAGTAGTCAGTTTAAAATTTTTACAGTAATTTGTTAAATTTTTATTCCAAAAATATTGTAATAAAGTTACAAAAAATTGACTAAAGTATAAAGTAAAATTTTGAGCTAACATTCATGTTCTTTATTACAGTAATTAGGGTATGTTGCAGTTTGCATACCACAATGCTTTGTGTTGATCATTTCAAATTGGACCAACCATTTTGTGCTTCAGTAGAAATACAATTACTCATGGTTCTCATTAGAATGCTAATTGTCAATATATTATCAACTTATATAAAATATTAAGGAGAATATCTGCAGCAAGATTTCCCTACCAAGGTTCTTTGCTTTTACATGACGAATACGCTGACCTTGCTCAAAGTCAGTACAAATTGCTACGCAGACAGTGACGATACGTGTGATGATGCCCAAGTGAATGATTAGCCCATACCATTTCCACATATCCTTGCAAAATATTTTCGGGACTTTACAGGTCTTTTTGGGATCTGAAGAAAGATACATAACAATATGCATTCTTAAAATGGATTATTATTTTACCCATTTCCGTCATGTGAATCGTGTATTAGGAAGCTGATTTCTTTTCTTCACTTTTCCTTAATAATTATACACCACTGTATATTGTTGATTAATTTATTATTGTTTTTTATAGGCTGTAAGTCATTGATGCGCAATGAAGGGCCGCTCATGCTGCTAGAAAACTTTGACATATTCTACAGTGTTTTGAGGTACAGTATAGAACATTCAGTGGAATAACAGTACACCAGACACTTTTCTTCTACTGAATAGAATTTATTGTGTCCTGTTCTCCAACAAACAGTTATAAATTTGCCACTTAAGTAACACTGCAACATTGTTAGAAACCAACAGGATGCGTTACAAGTAATCTGCTCATTAGAGACAGTTGTTAAAGTAATGCTTTTTGATGTCTTTTTTTAACTTTCTATTGTTAGGAATGTTTTTTATTTTCTCCATTTTATCTGTGTGTATACTGGGCACTCTTGGAGAACAGTCTTTTTGACTGAAGAGTCCACCCAGTATAAAAGAACAAATAAATAAAAAAAAAAAAAAAAAAATACACACGATTGGTCAATTAGAGACACTAGTTTACATACAGTATTGAAATCAGTAGGCAACAATCTTCTCACTGTGGACATTTATAATTTTAATGCCGAGATGGCTACTTGGGAGACCGGTACTTTATTGTGTGCAATGGGGTTTAGTGCAGATTATTAAAGTAAAATTAATGTTTAACAGTACAGTAGAAACCCTCAATTACGAACCCCGATTTAATCAGCTCGAATTGTAACTGTTATTAGCATGCATACTACACAGCATACCATACTATACTATGTAATTCTCAAGTGGGGGAGGCCCTCTAACAGGCCTCTTCAAATTCAGTGTTTTTTATGGCTTCACACATGTGCATGCGACAAATTTTACTTCTCTTTCAGACATCGTTTTCAGCTTTAAAAGTCAACATAGTGCTTGATTGTTTAATTGAATGATCAATAATAAACAACTTGTATCTATGGATGTTCTGTTCCTTTTTCCACAATTTAGGTATTTAAGAAGGTAAAAACATCCAATAAAAACAAATTTGTGTAGGGCCTAAAGTGGGATCAGAATACTTAGAAGCTACCTACTGTAGGCCTAGGCCCCTCAGACTTAGCTGCATAGGCCTGTAGGCCTAGCCTAGGCTTAGTTTATGCAAGTGTAAGTAGTACCAGTGCAAATATATATGAATTTGGGTCAACCCCGATTTTATGAATACCCGCAATTACAAACAGCTCTGGGCCCGTGCCGTACGTAAATGAGGGGTTCTACCATACTGCACAATGAACCTACATATTATACAGAACTATTCTAAAGGGCTTTCTACACAGGGGGTAACAGTGGCATGCAACCATGAATTACCAGGACTCCGATACGCACGTTCAATTTTTATGCTTATACCATCAGGTATTTGAATATGATTTTGAATAAATTCCTTTATAAATTCCGAACAATTTTCACATTTGGAGCCTTCGGGTATACCCCAAATTACTAAATTATTTCGCCTAGATCTGTTTTTCCAGATCGTCTATCTTGTTGGTTAAAAATGTGTTGAGTTTTTCAACATATGATTTGGAAGCCTTGCACTTCACATCATGAGTGTTATCACCCACCTGTTTATCTAAAAATATTAGATCCGTTTCAAATTCATTCAACTTATTGTTGATGGATTTAATGAGTGTTGAGTTGTTTCAGGGGTAATAGACTGCAATCTTGCAATAATGTCCAAATTAGTAGGCTCTTCCTTGGCTTTTGCCACTGCCCACATGGACTGCACCCTGGAAGTCATTAAGTATTGCTCGAGACGGCCTAGTGGAGTGAGTAGTCTTCGCTCATCAACAACCTATTCACGAACGTTTGTAGAAATAGAAAATGATCTTAACATGTCGTGTAATTGCATCACGCTCAGTGTTGATCAAAAAATGTTGGCTCTATTTTTTCTGGCCTTTGTAGTGTAAAACTGTCGGTAAATAGATATTTACATTGCCATTTATGAACCTTTACTTACTCTTACTCTTGTACTCATTTTCCTACAGACAATTTAAGGACATAAATTCTGAAGTGAAAGAAATGGCTTGGGAACTTCTAATTTCAAGTTAGTAGTATTATATATTTATTTATTTCGTATTCATTTTATGTCTCACATTGTAGGTCAGAAATTTCAAAATTGGCCAGACACTCATTACATTGTATTATTTTGAGTACGAGTTAAATGCATACAGTATTGTACTGTACAGAAGTGTCAAACATTGTGAATGTATATAAACTACATTTTTTTTATGATCTCATATTGTATATTGTACACCCTCACTAAACTGCTGTGCTTCAGTTAATACTCAATATTTGGGTTATTTTTTTACAATAATTATGAAAATATGTATACATGTTATAACACACAAATATAGGTTTATAAATATTGCAGACTGTTAATTTTTTTTTTTTACCTAAAAAATTTCTCAGCAAAATAATCAATTGATGGACTTGAATTATATGGTTTTGCAAACTTACTGTACGAAAAATGATAACGAAAATGACTAAGTAATAATTTTTTGAACTTTTAAGCTGATCCCCAATTAATTTGGTCACAGAGCATTGGGCGTTGTTCGGGGATTTTTTTTTTAACAATCAGCAACTATACTTGTAAGTAAATAAATATAGTTTTGAAAATATTTACCAAATTTACAGTTTTATTTCAAACCGAGAAAATCTGTAACTATGAATAGGGTTATTAATTAATTAAATTTGAATTGAATGCAGTATTAACTGTATTGACGTTAAAATATGAGAAATTGTACAGTATACTGTTAACAAAAAGGTTCAGCGTGGTTCGCAACACTAGGGTGAGCATCCGGCGTCTTTCTCTCATAGTTACAATTTTCAATGCAATTGGCTCGTTTCAACTGAATTAAATCACTTTAAAAATGGTGGAACATATTCAGCAATTTATGAACGAGAGTAGCAGTACTATAATAGGTAGGCAAAGCCAATTCAAGTTTCTGTACTCTACATAAAATATAATAATTATCAATTTCAAAAATGAAGTGTACATCTTAGGCTATCTAGGCCTACTGTAGGCCTATCAATCAAGGCTAGACAGGCCTTGCAGTCGGCATAGGCTAGCCACATCAAATGGGATAAAAAACGAAAACAATATGATTTGACAAGTTTATTTGGTTATTTATTTTTCTTCTGGTTGAGAACCTGACGGACTATCGTCGCCTAAAGCCCAACTAGAGGGACCTAAACCTAGGCCTCACATTGCAAATCTAAGCCTAGTGAGGCTAACCTAACTCTGTTTTGCAGTAACTATAACTAACCGTAAACAACTACATACACAAAAGTTGTCATAATGAAAAATAGAATTATATAAATATTCGAAATATACCATAATTAAATGCAGAATAATAACTTCTGTTGACCTACAGTAATACAGGTATTTATTGGAATATACTTACGAGATAAAATTTTTTTATTATTCGTATTTGTTGTGTGTGTGTGTGTGTGTGAAACAGGATTTTTATAATTGGTGATGACGAGAACGAAAATGTGACATATGTGATGTAGTCATTTTCGTTATTATTTTCGTAAGGTTGCGAAACCTCCCTATTTTGATTACAATCTTCATTGTGTTTTTCAATTGTTATGGTATATTATTAAATCTTCCATGTCAAACACAGGTCTCTGTGTAACCATTGTTATGTAATACATGTCTGTCTTTCTACAGTGTGTAGGCAGCAAACACAGAATGTTGCTTCTTATTTGGAGGATGACCAGTTAGACTCTGTGTCCAGCCACCGTCACTTGAACTTTGTTAAAATGAACCTATACTTGCTGAGTCAGATGGCTGAAGCATTTGAGACGGATGCTACAAGGCCATCAAGCAATATTGCATCTTCAAACAAAGTAATTTTTTGTAGTTTATTATTAAAACTTTTGATACTGATATCTATTATTATCATATCATAAATTAGTTGTACAACATACTGTACTGTATAAAAATTTCTTATCCTCTGGAGCCTGAAAAATTAAAACAACTTTAACCACGAATTGTTTATACTTAAAAATATTCTCAAGTAGATTGTTGGTGTTGGATTTTCATGACATTAAAATTGTTTTTTCTTTTTATTATCAGAAATAAACTAAGTGCAATATATTTTTAATTAATCCATATAAATATTTTTCATGCTGTACAATCTTTTTTCTTCTTCATGAAGGGAGGTCGTAAGAAAACAACCAACATTGGGTTTGACTGGGATAATGAACGAGAAAACTTCATCAACATTATCTCTCAACCCATTCACTTGGATATTTACCGTCTGTGGGATCCACCGATCGCAGAAGAGGAATTTGTAAAGTAAGTTTACTTAACAAGAAAAAAGTATTTGTCCTGTCACATTAATGGTTTAACCTCAGTTTTAACTGCGTAAAGTGTAGCTACATAACGTTGTTATTGTTTTTCTTGTCCATGAACAAGTCATTTGCAGATTTTATACAACTTTTTGATCATCATTTAGCTCAGCTATTTGCATGCGCTGAAGAGCCTGTTTCAAGACTGGCCAATGTTGAGTTTTATTTGGAGTCCGATCCCTCAGCCCTTTAAATAACTCTTAAATGAGAGTTAGGTGGGATAGGGGACAATCTCTTTTATGCATTTGTTGGTGCTGCACTGTGGCTGTTGGGAGGGGGGCAGAAACTGGCCAAACATCTGGCTTTGCTCCTAGAAAGCAGGGTAAATTAATTTATTGTTTAATTGAATCAAAAAATCTATTCAATTTTCTTTCAGCCTTATTGCCAATTGCTGCTATAAATTGCTGGAGAATCCTGTAACTTGTCGTAACAAGACAAGTAGGGATGCCATCTTTAATTTAATTGGAGCGTTGGTGAAGCGTTACAACCATACGCTCAGTAAGTATTGTAGTATTCATGACTGATTGTCAGCTTTTAAATGTTCTGCTAGAAATCAGTAGATAACATGTGTATCTCTGTCCACAAAATATCGAGTTACCTGTACATTAACATCTCCCAATTACAAACCTCCCAATACAATAGAACTCTCGATTTTACGAATCAAACTTGCGACGATGATGTCATTACGAACGATCGTTTTTAACTACAAAAACACTTAAAATTGTATTTAAAAATCCTTAAATATAATATAAGATAATTTATCATGCTATTAGAAAGAAAACATTTAAACCAATGAAGTAACATAAAACTAAGTTTAAAGCAGGAAATATCGATCGTTTTCAGCTAAGATATATTACATTTGAGCTGTGCTGTGTGTTCAGGCATACTGTACAGTAAATCTGACTTTCTGTTCATTGGGAACACTATTCACATGGATTCGCGATTTTTATGAAAAGAATAATAACAATCGTTTTGATTATTATTGTCTCATATTTTCATTTGAAAATCACTTCAAATGAATAATTCATAGTGAGCAACTGCTAATTTTGGCATCTGTAAAGTATTATTTCATTTCAGAAAAAAACAGTAAAATCCAAGTCATATTTTGTGAGAAATTTTGCTTCCATGGCAAGGCTAGGCTTTACCTGGCCCTGTAACTTGTAATAAGCCTAGGCCTACCCTCACTACACTGAGATGCTATGAAAACACTTTCAATTACAAATTTTCTCAATTACGAACTCTGTTCGGACGAAGGGGTATAGGGGAGATGTTATTGTAGTTGTCCATTTGTATTTGTATCATCATGCTCATAGTCATATATAGGCAAATCACACATTTGTTGTAACATTTTCCTTGATAGCGTGGACTGAATATAGCTTTCTGCTAAGGCCGCCCCTCGGTTATTGCTGCTAAGGTCCGGCAAAATGAGTTGATTGACCGAGCGGTTATAGTCCGGGGTACGGTAACGTTCAGCTGTAATATTGGTGCTGGTTCAAACGTCTCATTCGCCGGTGGTTCCGACGGTGGAAGAAGCTTTCACGGATGAGGACTTTAAACCGTAGGCCCAGTGTACGCATTTGGTTCGTGTGCACTTTAAAGAACCCAGTACATCCTTCTCGAAGAGTAGGGGGTTACCCTGGTATACGGGTCCATTCAGTCCCCTGTTATTTAATGGATATGCCATGTAGGATAGTGATTAAGTTCACTGATTGGCATATCCTTGGCGCTCGTGCCTAAAAAAATGAAAATGAAATGAAAACGACATCGAAAACATGCACATATGCATTTTGCGACAACCTATGCTTTTATTTTGGATTTAATTTGTTGCAAATTGGACCAAAGTAAATTCAAGAAGACATTCTAGCACTAACAAGACCAAAAGAAATTACGTTAATGCTTTGATGAGCAAGGTTTGATAGTGTTAAACACTTTGTTCAATTACAGGCGCTAGTCTGAAATTTACACAGTTACTTCAGCATTTTGAACACCTCTCAGGGCCTTTAGCTGAAGCCATCGCCCTCATCACTACTAATTTTGGTGTGAAGAACATTGTTAATGAAATACTGAGGTGAGGCAAGATACATTTTTTATGTAATTAATATGTGTAAATTTATGGTGTTTTTTTTTTATCCCTCTTAGAAGAATAGTGTACAATTGAACCTCTACTTTATTGACACCCTGTTTTTTTTCTTTTTTTTTTTACATTTAAGTTGTCATTATCTCTTCAATCAATTTATGAATCATTTTTTTTAAGAGGATATTTTCTTTAAATTTCTGTTCTGAGATTCAATCCTCATTATACGTAGACCAAAATATTAAAAAATTTCAATATGTTATTTTTCATGTTTAGTACCACAAGACTTCATTTTGTGATGGCACTTCGCATTTTTGACATTACAGAGTTGGTTTCGCTAGCAATAGGCAAGCACTGTTGGATGAAAATATTATTCTGATGTTAGTTGGTGAGAACTAGACTGATCCTAGTATTAATAAATGGTATTAATGTTATTAATTATTATCTTTATCAGAGAGATTGGGAGCATGGATCCCAAAGATTTAGCAAGAGACAACAGTGGCACAAGATCTTACGCTGCATTCCTTGTTGAACTAGCAGAAAGGATTCCTACCATTATGTTACCGAGCATCAGCGTTCTTCTGTGCCATCTTGATGGAGAGGTGTGACAAACTTGTTACTTCTAAAGTTAACTCAAGATAATGATTAGTCTTGTTCACTTACGCAGGAATGTTTATTCAATTGTCTTGCTCAGGATTGTTGGCCTCGTTCACGCCACATATTACGATTCATCATTGTATTCAGTACTGTAGGTCAGCTGGGCCTACGGTTAAACTTGAGTATGTGACTTTGCCTAACTCGAATAATTTCTTATTTTCCATGCCAAATTGTTGTGTTTCCCTTTAATAACCGGTCTGTAAATCAAATTTTATCCAAGTCGAACAATTTTTCAACGCCGTTTTGGATTCGAATTAAGCAAGTTCAACTGTATAAAGTGATGACTGTTATTCAGTAACAAGGCATATGACAAATGTGCAGCAGAACACTTTTACCTACAAAAGCCAGACTGATACATTTTACCAACTTTTGAATGAAGCAAAATAACTTATAGATTTTTTTTGTACTGTATTGCTTAAACTTTTGTTAATACCAGTAGCTTTAATTTCATTTCTTGCTTTTATGATAAAAAGCTATGATTATAGGCTGTTGGTTTTAGCATGCAACTTGTTAATTCTTTAAAATGTATAGTACTGTTGGTCATGAACAGTATAAAGATTTTGTCTTGCAAATAACAAGAACAAATTAATTTTATGTGAAATGCTTGTAGGAATTTCTCCTGGCAACAGTGCAGCAATTTTCATACAAGCGCACTGGGAGACAATAAAGATGATGTTGGTCATTTACTTATGCACTATCAGTCATGAGGTGGAAAAATTGAAAATTTAATTTCTCATTTGAATTGCTTAATTTATATATTTATATAAGTTATTAACTTCAAATTGAAATTTAAATGAGAAAAAAATTCCGCAGTCAAATATCAACTTTGCTGTATTCATTTGTTCTTTGAATTGGCAAGTTTTAAATCAGTTTTAAGGTTTTTTTTGTATTAAAATGTTTGTAACTTGGTAAAAATTATCTTTTTTTTTTATTATTATTAATCTGTTTCCTGGTAGGAGCTAATAATTTTTTTGATCTTTGTAAATGAACTAATCAAAATTTTATTAACATTTTTGATGTATTTTCCTTTCTTTTTGACTGATAGTACATAATTAATAGTGTAGAGAATTAATGAAGATAGTACCTCTGCTAATTGAGAAGTATTTTTCTTTTCTTTTTTTTTTTGGTAGTCATACACCATGAGGAACAGTATGTTGGGTGTGATTGGTGAGATTGTCTTGCAGGTTCTCAGTGGAGATACTCTTGATTCAAAGGCAAAAACAACAAGAGATCAATTACTGGACAAATTAGAGGTGAGTTGGTATTAAAACATATTTCAGTCATTTTCTATAACATTTGCTGTAAACTATGTGTATGGTGTTTATAGTAAATATGGAAATAGTAAAACTTAAAAAAAAAATTAACAGATAAATTTCATGTATTTGCCACTCTGCACTATGTCCAATTTCACATGCTATCTTTTCTCTGGCAAAAGGTTATGTTTGGATATGATTTGAATGATTACAGTTGCTCAGTTTGCTTTTACAAAATACTATTAGGCATGCATTATGAAAATTTGCCTTTAGATTGGATAAGATTAAGTGATTTTTTTCCATGAACAGAGGATTCGTGGTTATAAACCCACCTCCAAAATCGACCTAATTTCATGTTAAAGGTGGCGGGCAAAGGCAATTAAACAAAAGGACGCACATCTAGGGACATCAAAGGATATAACTCTGGAATCGACATTTTATGCGCTGTGCGCCCCTACGCGCTGATTGTCACAAAAACATAGCAACCAAACCATTAACCGGCAGTGTTTGCTGAATTACACACACACATGTTAGTCGGGCAGTGCATCGGGCAGTGATTACAATGGCCTAATGATATTTTACACCAATAGACTGAAATTGTTTCGTTATTTCAACATTAATTTTACCGATGTTATGGTGTATTTTCGTTCATGACACTCACTTCGCAGAAAAAATAAATAAATTTTCTGTATCTACTCAAATGTTTGTTTTGTGCACTTTAGTCCAACATTGTCAAAATGACAGTTTAATGTTATATAAGAACATGAAATTTTATAAACATTGTAAATTTTCAATTGCTATAACTTTTAATTTTGTTGGTCAATTTTCATGAATCAAATTGTAGCTTATAGAAGCATTTAACAAGTTCGTGGTCAAAAGAAATCAGATGTAACAGACATTCCGAAGTACCCAAAATTAATAAAATAGTAACTAACACCATAAAAAGTATGGCACGCATAGACTAATAATTGACGGCTGTACTCACAACTTGTATCGGATTGTCGATGCCACAGTAAAGATCAAAGGACTGTATGCACATGCTATGTTTGAGAGTGGAGGTGTGCATCCTTTTGTTGAATTGCCTTGGGTGGACTAATAGAAGAAGAACTACGTACTGCGTCATACCTCAATGGTAGTCCTGTCATTGGGTCAAATACATTAATAGAAAACATACTCAGATTTCTTGTAGAATGAATTCCCATTGCATTGAATTACATGGAGAACTGTCGTCACTTTGCATCAATTGATTTTCAGGATCACATACATGATGTGAATGCATTCACTCGTAGCAAAGCACTTCAGGTCTGGCTCCGAATGTGCAATGAACGCGCCATACCGTTGACACGCCAAAGAGAACTTCTGCCTCTGGTGATTGGTCGACTACAGGATAAGTCAAGTGTAGTGCGCAAGAGCGCTGTGCAGCTATTAACTGCTCTTATGGTCAGCAATCCATTTGCTGCTAAGGTCAGACATATTCATCTTGTTTATTACTAAAGCTGTTATAAACAGTTTTGGTTTTTGCCTGTTTATAGTTTATGAAACTGTTATTTTTCAAAATGGAAATTGTTATTTTAAAACATTGCATTTTGTTAATAGAGGATTTAAATAGATATTTAGATGATACATATTGGGTTGGTACTACAAAGGAGCTTCAGTATTGACTGTGCCCCAGTGAAACATGCCCTGCAATGAGTCAGTTTGCTTTTTCATAAGAGATATTCAGTTACAGATTTTGTCAGTCAAAATTATCTATGAAGATCTTCCCTTTTGGTTTTGATATTGATTTCTGTATTTGGCATCATAAAAAACAAGTGCACAGAATAAAATTTGGACATCAAAATACTAAATGGCATAGAACACAGCCAAAAGACTTAAAAGTAAATTTTAGAAAGATAAAGCATGTTAAAAATATAAAGATATGAAAAATTCAGCTGGTTTCCTAATTATTCATTGTCCTATGAGTATCCATGATATTTATTCATTTGAACAAGCACATATAATCATATTCTAAGAGAAATTTTATATATTTGTAAATACATAAAAAAAAAAATCTTTTTACTGTAGTAAAATTAAGAAAGTATAATACATACTCGAAGTATTGAAATGCATGCCATCGTGTTGGGATTCAATATTTCGACATTAATTATGTCATCAAGAAAGTTAGTATTTGCAGTTACTGTAGAAGTTTGGTTGTACTGTTGTTTGGATTCCCCCAAAAATAATTTCAATTTTTTTAATAATTACACATTAAAAAGTTATCACCGTTTGTCAGGTTTAAGTAAATATATTTTCCAACCCAAATATTAAAATTGACTCCTACATTAGCCAAATTTTGCTAATTTAATTAATTTATTTCAATCAAATACTGATTGAAGCTTTTCTAATAAATCTATTTATAGGGGGAGGTAACATCATAGAAAGAAAGAATGATAAAAATTTACCAGTGTACAAAACAATTAACAACAAAGATTATAATATCTTATACATTACAGCTTTCAGTGATAGAACTGCAAGACAGTCTTGATAAAGAGTCAAAAAAACTAGAAGAGATGTTGCCTGAAGAAGGTATTCCTAACATACCTGGTAATTGACTTTTTGCTTGTGAAAAAGTGGCATATATATATTTTGTGTAGTTAACAATATTGCAGTTAAGCATATTATTTATTTATCAATGAATTGGGTCTTATAGGAGGAGTAATGTATGAAACTGGATTTGGGGTCTTAAAGTGAGGGTACACTATCTTGGACACCCCTTACGGATACCTTCTTCTGGTAGAGTGTTCAAAAAGGCTGCAAGATGTGCTCTCCATTTAATTATGGCTCAGGCTACCGGCTTTGCTTCATTTCGTAAACATCTACAATACATTAAAGCCAAAAAAGAAAAGAAAAAATTCCTGCCCAAACCTGACAAATCCAACATCTTGATATTCTAGGTTTATATTTGAATTTTTCAAAGAAGGTCACTTTTCAAGCTTAAAATAATAATAATTTTGATAATTTAACCTGGATGTTAGCTTTATGGCATTGGTGATGTAATAGCCATAAGCTCTCGCTGGCTAAACCCAGGGGTCCGGGATATTCATCAGCATATTTTGTTTCGAGCAGTGGCTTTTATAATTCATCATAATATGTCTTTAGACGTCATAAAAGGCCAAAACGGAGTGAGGAGGAGGGCAGAGTTAATGGCTGCATTCAGAGATAAACCCGGCTTGAGTTAAGCCCGACTAAACATTAGGCCCAGCTTAACTTTGCCGGGCGTTCAGACTAGTGTGTTTAGCCAGGCGAGAATTTGCATAATAATCAACCGTAACCAGGAAACGTGTTTCAAAACATTACTCACGAAACGTACGCTCGGTCACAGTGTACGTAATTGAATGCTGAATGGTCATTTCGTCAACCGAAGTCAATGTAAGACCCCAGCAACGATTAAAGCCCGGCTTAGAAAAGTTAATCACTGTGGCGAGCAAGGCCTAGTTACTATAGGAACACACCCCGGCTTGAGATAAGCCACCTAGTTCAGACTTGCAGGTGGATAAACCCGGTTAGTTGAGCCGGGTTTATTCACCTAGTTTGAACTAGGCCAAGGTGTATCCAGACCCAGAGTAGGGTACAGGTAGAGGGCATGAAGTAGCCTTAGCCTGGAACCCAGGTCTCTTTGTTGTGCATTAACGTTTAATTTGGTCAACGCTTTTTATAAGGTCCAGTTAACACAGGAGATGATTGGGAAGCAATTGAGACAGAAGTGATAAAAGCAATCCAGGAAAGTACCGAGGAAAGTGAAGATATGGAAAATGTAGAAATACCCGAGAGCAAAGACATTAAAAGGTGTGTGGCTAATAATTGATCAATGTTTAAATGACACATGAAAGAGTATCCATAATATTCTCTGTTATATGATACATAAAAAATAGTGGTGTAGTCGTATATGTCGGGTATACCATGGAGGTATTAATGAGAATGAGATCACTCGGCAACAGATCCCTTTGACGCGACAAACCAATGCGTTCCCCGCCTTTGGATCGAACGCAGCGTATAATTATATTTTTCACATTTTTTTGTTAGCAGCAACTTGTCATGCGTTTATACGCATTAGTTTTGGTAAATTAAGCCTGCTGAGCATTTGGTGGCGGAGAACACATCAGATTTCATTCAGACTTGATTTGTCAGGCATGTATGCTTGAAAGTGTGTCAGGTATGTACAGTATGTTGATGATGCGTTTAATGTATCTAAATGTCTACACATTTTGTTGAGAAATTTTGTACTTATAATATTTTCTTTTTATATTTCTCAGCATTGTTGCGGAGATTCGAAAGCTTCTAGAGGCAAGGGAATTTGACAATGCTTTGAATTTGCTAAATGCAGCGAAGGAAGCTTGGTCTGATCATGAGATGTTCAACAACACGCCTCCCACTGATGAGTAAGTTGCTATGTTTATGAGTACGTCCTTGATGAGCTAGGCCTAGTTGCTGTCATTTAGATCTATACTACTAAGCAGCGTAGACCATCAACATTCATTGCTGCTCTTTTTTCAATTGGAAAGCAGCTGAAATTCAAGTATTCATCATCACATATTTTTGGGAAGAGACTTTGATCCTCTATGCAGTAATTCCCAGGTGCACATAAAGAAATTGTTTCTTTGTGTACTGCACCAATTCACCATCAGAAAGGGCTCCATTGGAAAAGAAACATCGAGATTTGTAATGGTATATCCTTAGTGTGTTTCAAACTTATTTAAAGTATTTTTCACGGACTTTGCAGAAGATAGGATAACCCTACTGAAGAACAGTTTTTTTGTGTAGGTGCTGTCCATCACATAGAGCCAACTACACATGAATTCTAAAATATGACTGTAATTAGATTAGAAAAAATAAGAAAATAAACAAAAGTACAATAGCACCTATGGTTAACCGCATATAATTAATTGAAGAATTGAATACTTCGTGATTAATAATCAATCAAATGTTTACATCTTATATTTTGCTTCATTGTAGAGATATTGCCATGGAAACCAATAATATGGATCCAGATGTAGAGAAAATGTGTTCTCTGTTGAAGTCCATATTTCTCGGTAAGTAAATTACAACAATTCAAAATATTTTAAATAGTATTAAAGCAATTATGTATTAAGTAAATTTTTACTGATTTCCTTTGTTATATTTCTGGTTATGATTTTAGACTTTACCACATTTTACCCAACCAGGATTCTATAAAAAATAAAAGAGGGAGGGGGGTGGAGGGGGAAGAAAAGAGAAAAGTCAAAAAATTACAGAATTTCTATAAAAATTGTAATTGATATCCTGCTAAGAAATGCTCAACTGAAAATTCCCCAAAAAATTGTATAATATAATTTCAATCAACCTGATATCCCTATAAATAATATCCTATAAATTGGGAATTACCCATACAAAATCACACCCGGATTCCAACACAAAATCCTGACACTCCCAATAGGAATCTTGTTTAAAAGCTACTGAAGGCATATTTACGCTCTGGGCCATGGTCCTCATTGCCAACAACACTTACAAATATACCACTGATTTCAACTAAAATTAGTATATATATTGTCCTATTAAAAAACATGAGCAAATAAAACTAAAAATGCTTTCTTGAGCAGAGATGTTGGCTCCAGGATTTGTCTGGTAAATCAGTCATCTTAATGACACATTTAGCAAAGTATTCCTAGAGCTTTCGGTAGCGAGTGGCAGGGTTGGATTGTCCAGCAGGGGGCTTAAGCTCCTTCCACCATTGGTGCATAAGCCCCTCCTCCTTTGGTGCCTCCACTGATAAAACATGAAGTAAGCCTTCCCAAAAAAAAATTCTTCGACAATATTTTACTTAGCCTAGTCATACCTAGAATTTTATACTGTGGAAACAATTTCCAATATTATCTCTTTTTTTTTTTTAATTTGCAGGATTTACTCCATTGGCAATGAACTCAGCGAATATGCTTGTGGGAACCGACCCACATGCATTAATTGGTGGTAGAAGTGAAGGAGATGCATGTCAAAACTCAGTTGTGAATGAACTCACTAAACAACAAATCCTTGTACAGTACTTTAAAGTAAGTAATGATTGTATAGTGTGTATAATATATATATATATATATATATATATATATTTATTTTATACACAATAAAAGGTCCCTGGGGTGATTCCCAGTGGAGGCAAAGTTTCTTTTTCATTCTGATCAGATTTTCCTCTTCTGTTACGTTTAAATCATATAATTATTTACATTATGCGACTTTGGGGATATATACATTAATTATAAGGAATACCAGAAGTAAATTAATTTTTAGTGAAAGCTATATTTAAAGTCACTTTTGTTCAAGAAACACACATAAAACATTACAGCAATTGATAAAACAGAAGTATGTAGTACTGGATATGAATTATTATTTATTGCAATTGTAAATATTATTTTAAAAATATGATGGAAATGGAAACATAGTAATTAGCAAAAATGTTCATGCGTTTACCTCCAGGATTGTGTTGCCTTTGCAAGCCAGCTTCAAGAGGCTGTACCAATTATATGTCAGCAGTTGGGTTCCAAAGCTACCACTGATGTCATGGAAGCTATAGGCTTCTTTGTAACTGCATTTGAGTTTGGCATTTCAAACTCAATGCAGGGAGTTCGTGGCATGATGGCTTTAGTCTGGTCAAAGGACCAAAGTGTAAAAGATGCGGTTGTGTCTGCATATCACAGGCTGTACCTTACACCAAAAGGAGGAAATGAAAGGTATTTTATAGTTCCTATATTTTATATAGTGTAATTATATTATATAATATGTATATATGTAGTTTTTTATATTATTATATTTTAAATATTGCATAAAGTTTTTTGGTTTTTTTCAATTCAATGTAACATTTATTTATTTCCTTTTCACATAAATGTAACAGAAAATTATAATTTATCTTTTGTTTAAGATTACAGTACCTTTCAATTCCAAAGGTTGATTGATTGATTGGATTTATTTAATGCTCGACATGCATGTATATAATATTACATAAGAATTATTTGTGTGCAAAAAGTAAAATTAATGAGTCCCCCTTTCCAATGGGGTCCAAAATTGCACATTAAATACTTATGGATAAAAACATTAATATTTAAAATTTAAAAATTGGCATAAAAACACAAACCTACATCTAAAATACATATACTGAATTGCAAATATTTATAATTCAAAAAAAGTTTAAATAGTTACATTAAAGAATAAAGTGTTTATGGACCAAAGTATTAATGGACCCAAGTGTTCATGGATGAAAGTGTTCATACACCAAGTGTGTATAGACCAAAATGTTTATGGATTAAAGTCTGCATAGACCAAAGTGTACATAGACCAAATTGTTCCAAGACCAAAGCTGTTGGTTCAAATTCTGTCAAACTTCATTTTATTTGCACTCAAAGCTGGGCACTCACAGCTCAGCTGATGCGATTCCATTGAAAGTACAATTGCACTTAACACTACAACGTTCATTCAAAGGATCGGTTTTCAATGACGATCCCTTCAGACTGCCACTAGCAATCAGTATACGGCTTTGCATCGTCTAGGACTTACAGGAAGTGTGTAACGGATGTACGACTGTCATAAAATACATGGTGTGCCCCATTCAAGTTCACATCTTTCTGCCTTACAATAAGATTATAAACACACTAGTCTTCTATCATCCACTGGCAAGATGTAGCTACCATGAAGCGCCTCTTTACGGCTACTAGGTACGGTAGTCATGGACCACACCCATACGCAATTCAGCACAATGACTCTGCAAGCTATGGGTTATTCTCCTACCTTTACCTTGACTTTAATTTGTTAAAAAAAGGGAACATTTTTTGTTTTATCAAATAATCCTAAATAAGGAAAAAAATATATACAATACCAATTACAATGGTAATATCTCAAGAAGCAAAACAAATTAATGATTAAAGACGTTTTAATTCTTGTAGATCACGGAGCATGGCCATTGTTAATAATTTAACAGCACTGACTGTCGGTGCCACCATAGGTGAGCTTACATCATTGGAAGAACTTGTGGTACAATTTGTGAAGAGCAATGACATACCGAAGCAGGCTATACAGCTACTATGGGAGAGGTTTACCATGAAGCTAGAAGCTACTACTGAGGAGGAGAGCAGGGGTGCTATCATCATCATAGGCATGGCTGCTGGGTAAAAAAAAATAGCTTGGTTTAGTAGTTTTGTTTCTATACATATAGAGCAAAATAGCATGTAAATTTAACAAAGATGGGACAAAGTACCGTAAATGTTTTTGGATGCTTCACTGCGGTGCTTATTCGAGAGCAGCACTTTATAAAAAAATATTGGCGTGGCCCTTTCCATGCCCTTTCCCACGTTACCTATCTCACGTATTCCTTTAGTTCTGTAGGCCTATCATAGGTCCTATGTCATCGTAAATAATTGTTTATAAAGACATGCTTGTGTCTTCATTGTGTTATTTATTCATTTTAACACTGTATACATTGAAGGCCTATTTAAAACCCTGTTTTTCAGTGTTTCATTACACACAGGGTCAAATAGGATTAAGCGCCACGATGCTTATTCAAGAGCGGTGCTTATAAAAAGACGATTGGGTTTGGTGCAGCGCTTATTGGAAATAGGCGGTTATTCGAGAGTGGCGCTTATTTGAGCATTTAAAATTTACGGTACACTTAATCTCAAAATTAATAATGGAAAGTTTGATGCCATTTGGTGGTTTATTTTAAGTGGGTTGTGTATTTGAAACTGGGTTTCTACTTTCAACCAAGGAAAATTATGTTTCTACATCTTCATAAATATTGATAAGAACCATAATAACATCCAATAATAGACCAAATGATTGCATTAACTGATTAGACTGAAGTATGGCAATAATCTTAAATTTTATTAAGTATATCACAATTTTAGTTAGCTAGGCATTAAGACCGTCTATAGACATGTTATAGCTACTTCATTTGCCCCTGGTAGCTAAGCTTCAAGCAACATGTTGTAAATAATTTTAAGCAACTGAAAAATACAACTTTTCTGGTAGTTTGTTCAACCGTAGTAAAGCCGAATCAGTTCGTAATCAAGTTTTTATTGAGCACCAACTAACACATTAGTACTTTTTATTGGTAAACTTTTTTTTATAGGTTGGTTTTGTATTATCATTTCAGAGCGGATATTGATATTGTACGCAGCAATGTTGATGTGCTGGTAGGCACTGGCCTTGGACCCAGAGCAGAAATGGACTTCACATTAGCACGTTACACATGCTCTGCTCTTTTAAAACTAGCTGGCTCAGGAAAGGTAAGTGCAAATACTTCAAGTTAAAAAAGGTACTTTTTCTTCCGGGAATTGTTTCCAACTTGGCCTCGGCCCGGGCTGAAAGTGGATTGCTCATTCTTGCCACGCCAGGATTCTGTCGTGTTATCCACAATGACAAAGGATGTGAGATGAACAGAAACACTAGGGTAACCCTTAACTTGTTGCAAAAGTTCTGGGTTCTTTTAAATGCACACGAGCCAGTTGTGTATACTGGGCCTACTGTTTAAAGTCTGTTTCAGAGATGACCTGTGTTCAGCAGTTGGAAGCCTGAGTGAACCCATGTGCCAATGATATTATGGCTGCAGGTAGTTGCCCCTCTCTTGTATTGCTCCACTAATCAGCTCACTTGAGTGTACTGCACCTGGTTTTGTAGTAGATAGTAGGGAGCTTGCGATTGGACGACGGTAGATCGTAGAACGGATGCGAGAATGTTAGGTTCTCCTGGTTGCATGGATTCTGGGATACAATTTGACCAAACTTACGTATGCAGAGAACGTAGGACGGTTACGCATGAGTGATTCCATTTTAGCTTTGTGTCGTCGCGAAAAACGAAAGTTCCTACTAGTGAGCAGATATAACAAGATAATTTCATTCTCTAATTTTTCACGCTATAATAATTACGGTGCTGTGGAAGTGGTGATAGAAAGTGGAATAATGATGGAGAAATGTTGCGAGTGTGAGAAAAAAATGATTTCCTTACTGAGTGATAATTCTGTAAATATGGTTTATTTGATTTGATTTTGCATTCATGTCATTGTTATTATAATGAAATAAAAAATACATGTATTACATTCTGACTGATATTTTTTTTTTATTGACCTGTCTAGCCAAAGGTGATGAGCAGTGAGGTGCCATTCAGGTTTGCATCTTCACATGCTATCTTCACAAGGCTTTCTGACATCTTGACACAAGGTTGGTACTGAATGTTTCTTTGTGTTTGGGATTTTAACTAGATAAGAGTCTGTAACTTTTTTAAACATATCTGTTTTATTCTAATATGTACATACGTATAAAACCAAGAGAAGTTTTTATTTAAAATTAAAACCAAAATATCTAATGATATAAAGTAAAAAAAAAAATCATGATCATTAAAACATAGGTAGAAAAATCCAGTAGGTGGAAGCGGTTTGGTGGAGTGGGAACACTTTGTTTCCCCAACCTCGAGGGGTTTCAATCCCTTGCTGTGCATTTCGCTTGTGTCCTTGAGCAAGGCACTTTATCTGCGTTGCTTTTCTCCACCCTGGAGTATAAATGGGTACCTGGTGGGGTTGCTTGTTGCTGCGCCAATATGGCTGCAACACTTAAGCATGTGAACCAATGACCAGGGACAACAAAGTGCTTTGTAACCTAACGGAATAGGCACTATATAAACATTGCTAATAAACACCAATAGATATTGTAACGAATTTATTGCTAAGGGTATTTAAAAATACTTCAGTAAAAATCATAAAAGATATTTTATAACATTAGTAGTAAGAATAATGGTGAAAATAGTAATAATGGTAATAATGATAATAATACAGTAATTATTATTTTATATGATATTCCTGTTGAGTATTTTCTCCTTTTTAAAATGTGTAACCCTTTTACGTTCTCTTCTGATATTTTTAATTTAATCCTTAAGTATTGTAGTGCTTTTGTCATTGGGTTTTTATGGAATTTTGATGTTGATGCTTTTATCCTTGATCAATTTTAATGTGATTTTCTTTTGAATTGTACTTTTTTACAAGCTTCGTAATTTATTCGTATTTTATTATTGGAGACAATAAATTTTATCTTGTATCTTGTAATGTCATTACTCCTACTGTTTAATATAAATAATAATTAATAGTAATATTGTCAATGCCCTTCAGGCATTTTGCTTCAGTTTTCACGTTTGAATAATTTTCCCCTGAACTATTGTATGGAACTGTAAAACCATTATAAAAGCGCTGTCCAGACTATTAAATTTTATTTCACAAAAACATGTGACATGCCCAAATATGGTCACATCATCACCATATTTGGCCGGCTCTGGCAAAACCAGCGGTAGGTGAAATTAAAAATTGAATTTTCTGGTATTTTCAGATTCTGCATGATTTCTTATTTAAAACAGTGTTTATTTGATGAAAATTGGTTGAATTTTAATATAGGTACTTTTTAGTTTGATTTATTGATTGATATTTTTGCAGAAATGTTCTTTTATATTTTCCTTTATAAAATGCAAGAATGTGAAAATGTTCAAAAATTCTGATTCTTGAATGTTTTTGGTGCTTGCGGGAAATTGTAAATTACGACATACAGAGAGTTTTGCCAGCGCCGGTTGCATAAGCACTTCGCGACTATATAATATGTGGCAGGACAAGCCAAACCAGTCACTTGATTTTTAGTTATTAATGCAGTGTTCAACAGTAAAATGAGAGAGCTATAAAATGGTAAAAGAATATTTAAATCCAATATTTCCTTAAGAAGTTTACAAGCGTTTAAACATACAGCTGTTTAAAGAACAATATTTGAGAAATCAGTCTTCAAAGTTTATGATTTTGGGCACTTATACACATCTAGATGTGGATAAGAGACAGTATATATGTTAGTTTAGTGCAATAAAATTGAATTTTTAAAATTTGACATTCCAGCATGTTTTGGCCATTATCTCTGAAACAGGATTTGCGACAAGTGACTGGTTTTGCTTGTCGATGCCATACTTGCGCATAGCAGTTTCTTTAAAAAAAAAATATGATAGAGTGGACAGAGCTACAGTTGAACCGTTAGCTCACTATTCCTGTTTGTATATCTTCCCATTCATGATGTTTGTTTACTCTTATTGTAGGCATTGACAACTTGAAAGACTCTTACTGGCAACCATTTGCAGACCAGGCTGTCAACACGATATATCGTTTGTCAGAGCATCCCGACTCTGTATGTGGAAACATCTTGAAGAAACTGGCAACACATATCATGAGGATCGCTGGAGAAGACTCTGTTAATGATGAAGGTATGTCTACAGCATGCATGCAGCTTTGATCAGATCTGGTGTCACTGTGTTCGCTGAACCATACAGATCCTTCTATACCTTTTTACCCTAGTTCAAATGCATTGCTGCTTTTCTGGTTTTTCAGCTAGAAATGCAAGTTTTCGAAAGAGAATAGTCCATTTCTTCATTCATGTTCATGTTAAAGGATGCAGTAAATTGAAAAAACAGCAGAGTATTGCCGTATCTCATTAAGCTGTGGAGTACCATACCGTTCTCACATTTATTTCAAAGTAATCCTTGTGAGAAAAAGAAAACAGTAGAGGGTATTAAGCCAATGTTTTCCAAAAAAAAAAAAAAACAACACTGATAGCAGGATTGAATTTAGGACATGAGGGTTGAAAAGCAAACACCTTTAATTTTTAATCATCATTTAAAACCTTAATATCTTGATGAGAAAATTAAAATTAGTGTTTTAAATGATGTAGTACTGTAATAGGCAGTATAATTATAGGTTGTCACATTTAGAGCACATAAAACTGCAATGGAAAGTGATTTTGATGTATACATTTCGAATTTTAATTTGTGTTAATGGGAATTTTATTCCATCTAGAAACACTGATATAGAGGTTCCTGATGTTAAGAGGTATCAAATTTGTATTGCAGTCAAGAACCAGAACACTGAGACTTGATACTTGTTTTATCTGTATTTTTTTTTTTCCGTTGAGGGATTAATTTGAATAGTGAATAAACGAATAATTAATAATTCAGATAATTTTAATTAAAAAAATGGTAATTTCTTTTTTTTTTTTAAATTTCAATATCATACATTAGAAATGTCATTAGTAAGTAGTAAATACCTGGCGTGCCAAAGTGCCTATATGAGCAAGAGCTTATCCTCTGTTTCAAGTATCGTCAAATGGATGAGGTTGTGATGCTCCCACCTGGACGCTGGTCCACAACAGGTGACTCTCACCAATTTGCTGGTAAATGTACCCATTGATACAAGTCACAGTGGGTAGACTAAAGAAATGTAGATAAATTGCCATGCTCAAGGACACATGCGAAATGCACAGCAAAGGATTGAAACCTGGACCTCAAGATTGATCACCATTATTACCGACTAGATGGAATGAACAAAATCGTTTTTCACTCATTGCTTTCATTCTAATCTCATTTTAATTGGTCACAGGTATGGAATCTTCTAATGCAAGTTGCCCAGCAGCTGTACTCTCACGCTTCCTTGGATTCTCTGGACAGGTGGCCTTACAGCAACTCGTTCACTTGGATGTCATGGTAACATCAGAGCTCAAACGAAGGCACTATGTCCAAGAAAAAGCTAATGGAAGTGAGAATAGAAATAAGACAAAGGTACCAACAAACAACATTTATAAATAATGAAATCAATATCAAAACCTAAAATTAAATCTTCAGAAGGATTTGGAAACATTTTTTTGTATGATCTTCAGCTGAGGTAAAAGCACTATGCAGCCGTCCATGGCAAAACAACGTAACTGGTTTTATATTTTTGTTAAGTTACGTTTTTTTGCCTTGGAACCTCCGTATGTTAAAAAAAAAATATGGAAGTTGGAATATATATAAAAAGCAAGACACAATTGTGGTCTGGAGAATTTCATTTAAACTTGTACAATTTAGTAAAGTAAATTAATGTGTTGATATTGTTAATGAAAGTAATTGTCTTGCAGACTGAAAATGAGACCAATGACCCTGGAGCCATAGAGGATGAACTGGGCTTGACAGGTGCTACAGCAGAAGATGCAGAGTCTGAGTACATAAGGAAGATTTGTGAATCAGAATCTGTAACAGGTGAAATGTCTGAGTGTGGAACGTGCATTACATCTGTATGCCTATTTTTTTACAGTTTACCTTTCTACCACTCAAACCGTATTATGCATTTAAATTGCATTAAAAATATGTTCGTTCTACACGCCTTAGTCTGATGTGACTGTGCGCTTGATCTAAATGCTGGATATATCATACAATTAACTAATGTTTCTGAGTGCAATGGGAAGAATATTGAGTTGAATGATGAACTTTCTCTTTTATTTGAATGGATTTGTGTTTGTTATAAACTAAATACAGTATATTTGTATGGTTACAGTATTGATACTTATCATACCTAATTAAAAGAAATCTTTTCAAGATCACTTTTATATCAAATATCAAAAATATATAGGCCTAAATTGTGTGTAAATTGAGATTTCGAAAAAATAAAAGGTAACATATAAATACTCCCTAGACAAATGGCAAAGTATATTGAAAAGAATAACATGTGGAAGGGGGGAGGGCAGAGCCCAAACGATGACAAAACAGACAGGAAGATGCATAGCATGAGAACGCAGACACATACGTCACCAACAGATTGCACATTGAGCTTCTGAGAAATTTTTCTAGCTAGCACTACAAATCAAAGCTTAAAATATGTAAATTTTAATCTTAAGTAATTGTGTTCATATTTGTCTAGGTCCAAATTTGTTGTCTGCTGTACGTCCACTGTTGGTGGCTGTATGCAGTAATCCCTCTAAGTACAAAGACCCATCATTAAGAACCTCAGCTTGCTTAGCTCTAGCTAAGTTCATGCTTGTTAGTTCCGAGTTCTGTGATGCCCATCTTCAGCTGCTATTTACTGTATTGGAAAAGGTAAAGTTTGCTTAGTGACATTTATAATACAAATTTTGTTTTGGATTGATGTTCTGGTTCATTAATCCCGCCACTTAGCTCTAAAGCATCAACCAGTTGTTAGAGTTAGTGCATAGTTCTTATCTGAACAGTCCGTTACCAAACATTCAATCATCAATGTAATGTGATGTACAGTAGTTAGATTTATATAGTGTTTTATACCAAAACGAACTTAAAGCACTCAAGGTGTGGCCTGGCTCGTACAGTGACTTTCTTCTCCCCTAATGATCTCTTCCTGTCTGAGCTACTTGGTAAACTAATACCAGGTACGCTCATCTGTCCACAACAGGGGCTGAATGGACCAGTACACTGAGGTAACCCCCTACTTATCTACCAAGATGTACTGGGTTCTTTAAAGTGCACACAATCCAAATTGTGTACACTGGGCCTACAGTTTATAGTCCTTTATCTGAGAAGACTTGCTCCACCACCAGAACCATTAGAGAGCGTGCCATTCGAACCAGCCCCGGTATTATGGCTGTTTGTTTCGGTGCCCCTGCCTTAACCGCTCGGTCATCCATCTTAACAATATGCTGTTTTCAAAAAGTGCTTTAATGTATACAAAAATATACTCCATCATCAATAAATGCAGTATAATTTATTCCACATACTGCAGAAATCAAACATTTCTTTAGATACACCTCTTTGGAATGCGGGGGGTAGGTAATTTTTTACTTCATTCGTGTTTTTTTTTTTTTTTATGTTCTGTGTTGTTTCTTTTGCGATTTTAATGTTTTATGTGTACTGGGCCCTCTGGGAGAACAGTAACTTTTTACTGAAGAGGTAACCCAGTATAAAGAATAAATAAATAAAGACTATTTTGCCTTGTCAGCAATAACAAATATTATATTTAGTTTTTATTTACTCCAGAATTTTTGAATCGTGTGATTAGCAACATACAGAACAAAATATGCTCTAATTTATCCTAAATAATAAAATGAGGATTACAGTTAATCTTAAAATGCTTGAATACATATTTGCTAAGACATGCTGATGATGCTGTTAGATTTCAAACTCGCTCTTTTAAAAAATAAAGAATTACAGCATAAACTATAAAATGTATATAAAATAAAATATTGATTAATGTTAGATGTTTAAATAAAATAAGGCAGATGCACAGGTTGCTTTATGTTGTTTCAAGAATGGACCTAATTTGTCAACTTTTGGTTTTATCTAATTGATTAGTGAATGTAATAAAACTGGTAGAGAATAGTGTTTACACACAGTAATTATAAATAACTATTAATAATAATAATAATGGTATTTATATGGTGCATATTGCACATTGCCTATATGCACTCTACACGCAAATGATATAGGGCAACCTAGAAAAAGAATAAATATAAAATTAAAGTATTCAAAGTTGATATTGAAAAACTCATTTTTTTTCTGCAACCTTTAAATTAAAAACCTTTCTCCATTTGCTCAGTTTTTTTTTTTTTTTTTCAATTTTTTAATTTTTTGATAATGAAGGCAAACAATTCATTTATGGCCTAGTATCCAAGATATTTACAGCCTGATGATAATCGAGACTCTCAGTCATATAGCGTTGGTTTCAATGGGAGTTTAAATCAAATTTAAGAACTGACCAATCAGAAATGGGCCAGGAATATATGCGTGTCCTACAAACGCATGTTTTTCCACAAATGCACATGTTTTACGTTTTTACTGTTGTTGTTTGGGGACCTGGTGCAAAATTCAAGGGCGAGGCTTAGTGGGAAGGTCCATTATCTGTCCTTGTCAGAATGACTAAAAATTAGCGAGACAAATGCCCTTCACATTAATCCGTACACCTTTCTACTTGCAGTCTCCGGAGGAAGTAATCCGCGCAAATACTATCATAGCTATCGGTGACCTCACCTTCCGTTTTCCTAATCTGATCGAACCATGGACAGCAAATCTGTACGCCAGACTGCGTGATGAATCGGTGCATGTAAGAAAGAACACTCTGATGGTTCTCACACATCTCATTCTTAATGACATGGTCAAGGTGAAAGGTCAGATAAGTGAGATGGCCACATGCATGGTGGACACTGAGCCACGCATTGCTGCACTTGCCAAGCTATTCTTTTTCGAACTGTCTAAGAAGGTAAGGTGTGAAATAAGAAAAAAAAAACATGTTGAAATTCAGCTTATGCATAATTTTAAATCTAGACTTAATGTTTAGTTCAGCCTTACCTTGCATTCATAGTAATGCAGTATGTTCCCATAAAGTGTGAACAATGTCAATATTTCAAATTAACATTTGGAGAAAACTAATAGAAGTTGTTTAAAATGTTTAATATTTTGAGTATTTACTGAGATACATAAACAAAATTAAATATTTAGCAATTAATAAAATGTTATATGGTAGACCTATATTACTGATATGCTATTTGACATATAATCTTGGAAAACCTCCAATATTTAAATAAAACTTTGAATACCCCTAAATTTAGAAGGATCAAATATTGCCATTACTTTTATTTGCAGTGAGACCCAGATTAAACTAAGTCCTTATTGATTTACAAAAATCTCTAAATTGATTACTAGTTTTTCATTATCGCTTGCTTTGAATAATTCCTACTTTCATACTTTATTATTAATTAAAATCGCACACAAAAAAAAACCATGAATTTGTCTATTTTGTGAATACCTGGATTAACCGACTAATTGCCATTGTTCCCAAAATGGAACACCCCTTCAAAATAAAATGGAACAGTCTGACCCAGGGCGCCACGGACGAACTGTCTCCCTAAAGAGAGCCTCGTTTGTGTATTGCATAAAGTGTTGGACCATGTGTCTCGTGTTTTAGAGAAGAATTCTTGATTTTATTTCTGCCTTGGAATTGGATTTTTATTTTCAAGAAGTTGTTGAACTTTGCTGCCTTGGACTTGGCTTTTATTTTCAAGAAGTTGTTGGGCGACCTTTTTTTAATGCACTAACCTATACTGTGGCTAATATTAATGATGTTCTCACTCAAAAGCCCTTTGCCACAACAGTAACTTTCCTAAGGCTAAAATGCAGAGACACTGTGGATTGCCTAAACCTAAAGTTTTATTCTTGAATTGATTTTAATTTTTGATTTTAATTTAGTGTACTCTATTTACTTTAAAGATTGACTTTTTTAAAATCACATTTTGAAGATTTTTAATTGTGAGCCGATTCAAACCATTTTTGTGTTTACTGTATATAGCAAAATCATTTTTTTATTGTTAAAATTCACAAGAATAAATATAAATTTTGTTTATATTTTTATTTTATCATGTTACTGAAGTTATTAGCTTAATTTGTGTATGTGTAATGAAAGAGACTTATAGGCTATTTTCAGACACGGTAGCTAACAGTTAGCAGGATCCGGATTACAAACATACGCGATCACCTGTGCGTTCATACAATAAAATCTTCAATCCGGATACCAAGAAGATGATGATCAGATCATTGACCCATAGGAAACTGGAAATTGAAAATGCGTACATGTGATTGATTAATGATAATAACGCGCTCAAATTGCTAATCAATAGTGCTTGCTAATCGTTGCTAAAGGTTAGCTTCCGATCTGGATACTAGGCCTCTTGTGTGTACCTGACCTAAGTCTGCTTTGCTGAGTATTTTTAAAACATTTCAGTATATAAATTGTTTTATCACCTTTTCTTTTTATTTAATTTACCGTATTTATTTTAAAAAAACACCCCCTCTAGAACTTCATTTGGAATAAACACCTCCCTCGAATACACGCCACAAGGCATTTGTTTTTCCCTTGAATAAACGCACCTCTAAATGATTAAACAATATAAGCAACATCATTCTCAACACATTCTAATAATGGTCTACTACATTAAAATTACATTTCTTTAACCGGGTTGGGATGAATAAGTCTTTATGATTACATAAATATATTTTTATATACAGGTATATATGTTTTAGTTCCACATATACAATGAAATTATGGTGTGTTTATTTGAGTACTGTACATCCATCATTTTACACCCAAAAAAAAACCACCTCCTTCAAATAAATGCCTCTCTCTCATATTTAAGCGCCCCATCAAAATCTCAATAATAAATGCCTGTGGGCATTTATTCAAATAAATATTTTTTCTTGCATTCTATAGGGTAATGCTGTATACAATGTAATGCCAGACATTATCAGCCGGCTCTCTGATCCAGATTGTGGTTTGCCTGAAGAGGACTTCCGAACAATCATGAAGTACCTATTCACATTTATCCAGAAAGAACGACAGTCAGAGTCATTAGTTGAGAAACTCTGCCATCGGTTCCGAGCTACCAGGTTAGTTCCTTACCCAATGGTTTTATCTGTTGGAAAGGTATAGTTACCCTATTTTTTTTCTTTTTTTTTTGTATAGGTATATCACGCCTGATGTTACCATTCATATTGATGAGAGGTGGCCACAATATTTATAATCATATTTATTTATTTAATTTTATAATCTATGAAATACTCAAACCTAGGTCTAAAACATAGCGAGAGCAACTTTATGGCTCGTCAATAGTGTAAGCTAGGGTAACTAAGCATGGCCAGCGTATGATTCGAACCCTTGACAACGAGGTTCACAACCTGAATGGAAATCGCTGCGCCAAACCGCCGTCCACAAGTAGCAGCATAGCTCAGCCAGCTAACATGGTGGTAGCACTGTGTGTGTTTACTGAAATGTCATTTGCTCCGCTCTTTGTGTTTTAGCTGGAGGGCTGAAATGCAAGTATTAAAAAAGTGCACTCTCTTTTGGTAGATACATTTAAGCCATAGTTCCTGTGTGCAATAGAGCGTATGTGCATGTTAACGAACAGTACGCTTTTCAGAAAAGAGATGGGATTGTCTCCCTGTCTGCTGCCTAATCACCACCAGAAGAACACCACTTGAAATAATCCACAAAAGTTTAAAGCATTGAGTTACACTGAGTAAATCAAATTCCATGTAAGGGTATGTTTGGTATGACCCTATGATACGCATATTTATACAAATATTTATGTAGCGCTGTTTACCGAAATTTCATGATATATACGTATTTTTCTATTGAGTAATTTTACAATATTATTTTTTATATTCAGACAGTTGGGTAATTCCAGCTCAAATCAGCCATCCCTTCCCCCCCCCCCCAACTTGCAATTTCCTTTAAAAAATTCTAAACAAAATTTCTGCTCCAATTTCCAAGCGGTTTTTAATTTATGCCGGTTATGGCTCCTTTAACTTTGTACTGTATTTACAAAGCAATATATCCTGGAATAACAAAGACAAAAAGTTGGATATTGCTACATAGACTGAAATTTGGCCCCTCTTACAAGAAATACCATTCAAATTTGGGTAGGATATTTTATTACAACGTTATACTGTATGTCCCCCCCAAAATTCCCTGAAGCATTGTGCTTTTTGGTATCACATGAGAATGGCAGTTGACTTGAGCCGGAATGACCCATTTGTTCCTGCTGTAATTATTATATTTAACATACAATTCATGTTGTCCTAATTACGTAGAACTCCTGTGCAGGTGAGAGACCTTTCTTACTGTCTCTCAATGCTGAATTACAGTGAGAAGGGGGTCAAGCGATTGGTAGAGAACTTTGCATGTTTCTCTGATAAGTTGGCAGACGTTGAGGTGTTCAGTTGTTTCCAGACGATCCTGACAAAAGCTAAGAAGTTAACCAAGCCAGAACTTAAGGTAAATATAAACTTGTGCTTAGTTTTTGTTTCTATGGTGTATGAAATGAGGCCTTCCTTTATTGAAAGGATATGTATTCACAGTTGTTGTGTCTGTTTTCAAGATTAGGTGGAAGAAATGAAGGAATAGATCTTCATATTAATAGTGGAATGTTACATGATAATTTAAGAGAAGTAAAGGTCAAAGACAAGGTCATTGAATTTTAATTAGTTTACCCTTAGCATAATAGAATGTAAAGAGATAGTCCATAATTATATGCCTGTGTATTGTTCTTTGTTGAGGCACAAAGCGGAGGTATGCATTCTCTATGCACCAAAGAGGTTATGTATTCATCACTGTATGTCTGTTAGCAAGGTTAAACAAAAACTTTTTTCCCCATTTTTCTTATGATTTTTTTTATTATACTGTAATTTCACTTTTTTTTAATGACTTTTTCCATTATACTTCTATATTCTCATTCTCAATATCAATGAGAAAAGCTCTTTTTTCTGTTTTCTTACATAGTAAGTCTAGTTATTATTTGTATAGTTATATATTGTTATTGTTATATTTATTATATTATAATTATTGTTAATAATACTGTATTAATATTTTTAATAATTTATATTTTTTTTAGTTACAATTTATTAAATTATTGCTACTTCAGGTGTTTGTAGAAGATTTTGAGGAAAGAATTACACGATGTCACACAAAAGGAGTAGAGGATGATGAAATTGTTGCTAAAGCAACCAAAGCAGCTTCTAAGCTGAAGAGAGGTGGGTCACAGAACCAAAGTACCCCAGCTGCCTCTCGTCAGAGGAGAACCGCTAAATCCACTGCTAAGTCTACCGGTAAGCATGTTGAATAATTGTTGTTTAATTTTAGACATTACACACTATAGTAGACTGGAATAAGCAGTTTTAACCTGCTATTTATGTCTTAATCAAGAGAAGTTACGGATTGCAGTGAGCAATGCACCAAGAATGTTAATGTATAGCCAGCAATATGCTACAATTTCCAGGACTGTTTAAACTTATGATTGTAATTAAACTGTATACTTTAATAGTTTACACTCTTGTAACTTACTATATTATTATTACTGCTGCTGTATAAACACCCTTGTTAAACTTTCTAACGTTGTTGTTGCCTCTGCCGCCACACTCCACCAGGTTACTCAAAAACCTGAGCAGTATAAAAAAGACACTAGCTGGGTTTGAACTGGGGTCTTTAGCGCAAGAAGCAAAACCATTCATCCAAATTCTTACCACTATTGACAAAGTGTTTGTAACGATTTACCGTCCAGACGCGTGCACAGCTGTGAAAGTAATATCGGAGCACCATTCTTTTAAATGTCTTGCCATTATTGGCATATTTTGAGTTTATATTTATGTCCATTATTGTAAGTCAATACATGATGAGTAAGGAATGTCTACATCCATCACAGTATTTGACAGACTGGCTTCATTGAATTATTATTTAAATGATACTCCGGGGCAGAGCCAGGTGTGATGGTCGTCGACGTCTGGACATCATATAAACTTACTCCATTTATACAGGAGTTCACCCCTTCCTGCAATGATCTGAATCTCACAGACTCAAGAAAAGCCGCCCGTAAGGCGGTCTTTTCGTGAGTTATTCTTGTACTGTCACAATTCTGTTTGTAAATTCTTAAAATACTAATTGCACAGTATTATTGTACTTTTTACCATGCTTGCTGCATTTCATTTTTTTCCTACTTGAATCATCATGGATAAATGTTGCACTAATTATTCAAAAAATACTAATAATAAATAACATCCTATGTAAGTTCTTTTGAAATGTGCTGTAAAAAGTTGTAACTTTACAAACTTTTTGTTTTGCATGTATACAAAAGTTAAAAGAACCACCCGCAGAGGAAGACGCAGGCAACAGAAGGATAGTGATTCTGAGGACGATGAAAACACCATGCCACTAAGAGAAACGGCCGTTGATCCTGCGAATTGTAACCCAGGACGCAGTGTGAGGAAGACAAGAATCAGAAAACCGAAAGGTGTAATCCTATCCAGTGATGAGGATAGTGACGAAGAAGAGGTCCTTCAGTCGATGCTGACAAAAGGTATTATAAGCAATCTTTATATTCTATTTACCATGTCATTTTATTTATATGAATTTAAACAAATACTGTATTTGAGAAAACATGCTTATTTTAAGTGACTGTTAATGCAAACACAAGCAAATGTATTTTTGGAGTTGTCCACCTGTTACATGAGTATTATAGTATATAAAACACATAGTTGGCTGCTTTTAAATACAAAAAACATTCAACAAAAACTGCCAAAAAAAGGAAGGTTAGTAATGATGTTGCTGGAATTCCATAATATATTAATAATCTGTTATTAATATATATTATACTGTTCTCCTTTATGATAATGACAATGTTGCTGTTGGTTCGCTTCAATTTATTTAGTTTTAAAAGCAGTATCTTTCTAATGACCACCTTAAGTCAATGTCTGTCAAATGTCTTTGAAAAGACGGCTATTTGTACCAGTACCAGTATCCATACGTCTTTTTTAATTTGTGTAGATATGTTGATACATACTGCTAACATCTGTCTTTATATTTCAGTGCCAAGGTTTGGCCTTGATGAGAGTACTGGAAGTGAAACAGAGAATTCTGCACCTAACAGAGGTCCTACCACAGCGTCAGGATATAAGAAAGGCAAACGAAAACTCCTATCAACGCCAGATGGTGCTAGAGGGTCTTCCAGCAGATTGTAATAAATTACACAATGAAATCGTAGTAGCTTTAAACAATGAAATCGTAATTTTTTTTTATAGCATTAAATATACAATTATACTATGGAGTGTTGACATTACGATAATATAAATGTTCTGTAATTATGATTTAGATGCATTTGGATGTAAATTAAACATTTTCGAATGTATAGCTTGATTACGAAATCCTGTATTAGGTTATTCATCATTAATGGCAGCCGGCTTGCTCTGGGATTAAATTTAATTAGTATGTGTGCGTCCCTTAATACAGTTGAACCTCTCTAGGGTCCAGAGAAAAGTGGTTGCTTATGAGAGGTGATTCCTTACAAGTGTAAACACCGTATGAGATCCAACTTATTGGGATGTCATGCCTCAGGTAAAAATATTCATTACAAAAATAATATGTAATAATTATTATTGTACCAGTATTTTAATAAGCATTTGTTACCACCTCCAAGTAAAGTCCGTTGAAAAAAAATGAATTCTTTACGCTCCGGGATGGTTGTGTACCAGAGGTAAAATACCACAGATAATTAATTTAAATTATCATGCCAAAAAGTGGCTGCGGCCCCTTACGAAAGGTGAGTTCATACTAGAGGTGTGTGCTTAGGAGAGGTATTAAATGCAGTAATTGAATGAAGAAAATAAACAGGCTTTTGGCAAGTGGTGACTAAGAAAGGTGGTTGCAAAGAGAGGTTTAACTGTACAGTATTTAGTGTACTTTATAACTACAGACAGATAATAAAAAGGATATTTGTACTGTAGTGTATTTCATTGTGTATTTACTGATCCTATTGTGTACAGGCTTCTTTTTATTTACTCAGTCACAGGAACATTTATTTCCTTTAATGTCTATAATACACCAATGTGTAGAAAAAAAAGTAGACAAATGAATATACAGTACACTATTTCCAAAAAGGCAAAAGCTTGTGTACAGGAATGCCCAAAACACAGGAACGCTTGCGTAACAAAACATGGGGTACACAGAAACAAAATGATTACACACATAAAGACAAAAAGCTGATTGTAATTTTTAGGAGAACAAATGTGTACATTTATTAAATAAAATTAAATATTTTGATACAGTAAAAGGTGATATTTGAATATTTTAGAAAAGTTTTTCTTGGATACAGATTGCTTAATATTTGGTGGTAAGTTATTCCAAACTTTTGGTAAATATATAATGTGTTGAAAAGAAGATTTTTATCTGCGGGGGAATAGTTCTAGTGGCTTAATTTTGGAAGTAAGAATTCGGATGAAAAAATTACAAATTCGTGGTGGATTTATTTACGAACTGGTTTTTTTTTTGTCTGTTTTTGGAATAAGCTGCTAGTGTTCGACTGATAAGTATTTTACCAAACAATATTGCAATAACTTAAATAAGGGAGGGTGAGAGTACAGTAAAGGCAGGATGTTGAGCGAAATAAAGTATATACAAAATTAACACAATACTTTTGTAAACCTTAATCTCAAGTTCTTTAATGGGTATTTACATGCAAGTCCTAAATCAATGTTGTATTTTCAACTACTGTAGTGGCTAATATACTTATTCATTTTAATCTGTCTTGATAAATCCTGTATGTGTTCTTATATTGTGAAATATTGCAGTGTTATGTCTCAATAAACTGAAACAGGTTTTGCCTGTTGTATAAATGCTGGTTTTTTTTTATGTAATCATTAGGATTAGGAAATCGGTTTGTTTCTAAAGCAGGACAAACTCAATTCTCGCCCAATTACAGTATGTTTAAAAATGCACTTACAATACTTAACTTTATACCTTAGCTATAGATTTTAGCCTGAGTGGTTAAATTTGTTTGGAATGCACACGAGGTTGGTGATTGTTGGCCATGAACTCTAGCATTTAGTTAGTTGGAGCATGTCTGGAAAAGTTTTAAATTGAGAAAACTTTTAAATTATTGAACCATACTTGTACCATTATTTTTACAGGGAAGTTTTAAATAAAACATGTTAATTGGAACACCCGTTTTAAATGTTCTTGGGGAGGGGTATTCTGTGAGACCTCACCCCAACCATGGTTGGGTCTGCGGAAATTTTAGAAAATATTAGTCTCTAGGTGGCCTGAAGTGGCACTGTTGTATAGTAAAATTCATCATCATCACATCACCCTTATAGTCAAAATGACGCGGCAACAAATTTCTCATGATCTTTTATTAGGAACCATACAGACCTAATTAATATGTGTGATGTAAATTAGTAAATTAATTTTGAAACCTTGTTTTTAATTTTTTACGTTAATTTACCTACTTCAATCTGTGATGTACCATTGGAAATAAAACTTTAAAAGCTAATTGTCTTTGATGTACGTATTTACAGTACTTTACTTTACCAGCTTAAAACCGGGAGTCCAGGTTCACTTCAGCCCACCATGGTTGGGGTTGGCCTATATTGTATTTCTAGATGACCGGAAATGACACTCTTATAGAGAAAACCAACAACAGGTCTTTAATGAAGTAGGTAGCCTAATGGTACTAACCTAGAGCTTAAAACTTACGAACACACTTCGATACAGTACATCTGAAATTCAAAAATGACCATCGAGCACTGAGAGACTGCAAATGAATACGGAATTGGAATTGGAAGAAGAGCAACGACATGAATGGTATGTGAATTTCAAATCAAACAGCGTTGGTGGAAGTGGAAAAATATTGAGAAATAAGCCTATAATACGCTGTATTAATTGGCAAGTAAAATGTAAAGTTTCCAGTAGGTGAAGGGTGTGCATAACGCACCCAACAAAATGTGATAAGGTCCACATTTCCAAGACAGTCGATAATGTATTGAATATAAATTTGTGATTTTCTGTGATTTAAAAATAAAATCTTAAATGTATATATTAAACAGTAGGTCTAATCTACTAGCAGTCTGTCGTGATTCGGAAAAACACAATTTATCCAATTTTGAGATTTTAGCTTAGGGGCACCCTGTGGATGTATTCTGTCATGGGAAGTGATCATATATAGGCCTACTCCAAACAATTTTTAGATATGAAATAGTGTTACGAATTATATCCGTCCACTAAAGCATTATGTTAACTAAACATTGCAATATTGGAAATCAAACAATCAATTTAATTTCTGAGCTGGTGGCGGTACAATAATACTGTATCATTTTGTTATTGTCAGAGTACGGTTATTGAAAGAAATGCATCATTTTTCCAATAAGAAGTTGCAATTTGAAAGTTGTGGTCATAAAGATGAGTTTTAGAACCATATTATTAACTAAAATTACTGTATTAGATTAAACTTTCCACGTTTGCCTGTCATCACCTAGCTACGGTACTCCCCCCTCCTCCTCATCATCATCTTCACATTGTCATCATCATCATCTTCATCATTGAAATTATTAATTGTCCATAATTAAATGGGGGAAACACACATAATGCACGTAAGTGTTCTAAGCATCTAGAAAACAAAACGTTCTGAAGGAGAACCTAAGACTCCCTCCACCCTCACCCCATTCTCTTCTCATGACCCCGCTCACTCAGGGATCCATGTAGTCTGTGCGATATTATTTCCATCAGTAGGGGCTTAAGCCACCCCCTCCCCTACTGGACAGACCCCCTCCCCTACTGCACAGATCAAAGCCACCCCCTCCCATTGGACAGCTTGAGCCGCCGGGCAGTCGGACTAAAAAATATAAAAATAAGGCCCACGCCAAACCAACACATGTCTGTCACAATCAGAGAGTCATTTCTGGCCATTCAGTAGTTCCTATTCTTAAAAAATTCTCATTTGGGAGGGGGAACACCCTCTCAAACCCTTATCCCAGCTCGTGCCTACCAGCCCAAGTCCCCCTGTCAGACAGCTCAGCCCCCGCCCCCAGAAAATGATATCCTAGAGCCGCCACAAAATCTGCGCAGAAAACGGCCTTTATTTTCCGAAGTGTATGGACGAATTTCCAGGTTCAATTCCCCTGGCCCCGGCACGTAGGCCTTATTTTACATTCGGGAATATTAGCAAAGTCATTTTTAGGGCTTCCGTGACCATTTCCTCCTTTTTTTTTCCTCGATGAAGTTTGCATATGGAACCATATCAGAAGAAAATTAGCTGCTATGTACCTCTGAAAAATATCGGGAACAAAACACCATCTTGAAAATCATAAAATCGTGTTTCTGGCTCTAGATGAGGATTTGGTGTCTTGGCACTGTATTTGGCTTTACCAATAATAGTGGAATGGTTAATGTAACGTTTAAAAATTATTCTGGCCTATAAAATTCAAGATGGCTGCAGTCCGCCATCTTGAAAAACCGCAAAAAATGCATTATATATATTGGGTTCTATAAGCTACAAGGACAAATAGGATGTTATTTCCTCTAAAGTTTGCTGTACTAGATGCTGACATTGTTACATTGGATCCAAGATGACTGTTGTTCGCCATCGAAGAAATGCCAAACAGTAACACTTGTAGCAAGATGAGCTAGAAGGACAAATGGAATGTCATTTTCTCCTAAATTTGGCATTCCTATACACTGGAATGCTTATTGTAGAGTTTCTAAAATCATACTGACCTATATAATCGCGACACCACTCTGTCCAAACGAGTCGCTTCATGACACAAAGATTCTCTGTGGTCATTAAGACAAACTCTAAACAAAACCTGAATGATGACATCGTATTTGTTAAAACGGTGAGTGACAATGCAATAACATAATTATCAACACTGTTGGTGTTAAAAGCACTTTATTTTCATATAATGGTGGTTACATACGCAATCAAGGTAACAGAGTAGCCATATATAATCGTCGTGTTCTACTAAGAAATTGCAGCAATATACAGATAATATGTTTTATGCTAATGGCTGCAGATTTTAAAGCATTTTATTTTTTTTACATTGTAATCAAATTCCAAAGTTAATTATTTTCCATTACATTTTCATGTCATCCATTAAATTAATATATAGAACATGGGCGGCGGAACCGGGGCCCGGCCCCCCCCCCCACTTTTTGGCGAAAAATATATAATGTCTGGAGAACTTTGTATGATCGGAAATGCAAAAAAAGAAGAAAGGGAAGAAGGAGAAGGATGGGAAAGAGAATGTTTATCCAGTACCCGACCGAGTTACATTTTCTCGCAATTCACATTGGCGGATCTGGGAGGAGGGGATCATGGGTCCTGACCCCTCCCTTGTGCAATACCTATTCTGAACCCTGTCTCTTATACACATCTAGATGTGTATAAGAGACAGTTTCAGGACCGTGAGCTGTTTTTTTTTTTTTTTGCTATTAGAAAATTAGAATTTTGAAGAACATAAAATTCATTAAAACACACTTCAAATGTCGGGAAAGCTCAATTCCCGCCATCTAGGAATTAAAATTTCTTTTTGGGATTTATCGATTCATGGAAAAAAAATTACGCATGCAACTACTCACCCAAGACTCCTGTTACGCGCCTGCTTATAAGTGGCCCCCCCCCCCCCCCCACTTTGAAAAACGTTCCGCCGGCCCTGTAGAAGTCACAATGTTCAAAAAAGAATGTTAGACCCATGTGAATATTCATCGGGGTCTCGTTTTTATATATTTCTGATGTGAATATTCATCGGGGGTCTAGTTTTTATATATTTCTAATGTGCAAGTGATTAAACATTATGTCTATGTCAACTACCTTGCTTATTCAACCTCTACTTTTCCTTGCAATTTCAGATTAGTAAACGAATGCTACTGGCTGCAGATTTTAAAGCATTTTATTTATTTTTTATATTGTAATCAAATTCCAAAGTGAATTATTTTCCATTACATTTTCATGTCATCCATTAAAATAATATATAGAAGTCACAATGTTCAAAAAAGAATGTTAGACCCATGTGAATATTCATCGGGGGTCTCGTTTTTATACATTTCTGATGTGAATATTCATCGGGGGTCTAGTTTTTATATATTTCTAATGTGCAAGTGATTGATCATTATGTTTATGTCAACTACCTTGCTTATTCAACCTCTACTTTTTCCTTGCAATTTCAGATTAGTAAACGAATGCTACTGGCTGCAGATTTTAAAGCATTTTATTTTTTTTTATATTGTAATCAAATTCCAAAGTGAATTATTTTCCATTACATTTTCATGTCATCCATTAAAATAATATATAGAAGTCACAATGTTCAAAAAAGAATGTTAGACCCATGTGAATATTCATCGGGGGTCTCGTTTTTATATATTTCTGATGTGAATATTCATCGGGGGTCTCGTTTTTATATATTTCTAATGTGCAAGTGATTGAACATTATGTCTATGTCAACTACCTTGCTTATTCAACCTCTACTTTTTCCTTGCAATTTCAGAATAGTAAACGAATGCTACTGGCTGCAGATTTTAAAGCATTTTATTTTTTTTTTATATTGTAATCAAATTCCAAAGTGAATTATTTTCCATTACCTTTTCATGTCATCCATTAAAATAATATATAGAAGTCACAATGTTCAAAAAAGAATGTTAGACCCATGTGAATATTCATCGGGGTCTCGTTTTTATACATTTCTGATGTGAATATTCATCGGGGGTCTAGTTTTTATATATTTCTAATGTGCAAGTGATTGAACATTATGTTTATGTCAACTACCTTGCTTATTCAACCTCTACTTTTTCCTTGCAATTTCAGATTAGTAAACAAATGCTACTGGCTGCAGATTTTAAAGCATTTTATTTTTTTTTTATATTGTGATCAAATTCCAAAGTGAATTATTTTCCATTACATTTTCATGTCATCCATTAAAATAATATATGGAAGTCACAATGTTCAAAAAAGAATGTTAGACCCATGTGAATATTCATCGGGGGTCTCGTTTTTATACATTTCTGATGTGAATATTCATCGGGGGTCTCGTTTTTATATATTTCTAATGTGCAAGTGATTGAACATTATGTTTATGTCAACTACCTTGCTTTATTCAACCTCTACTTTTTCCTTGCAATTTCAGATTAGTGAACGAATAATTAAGTCCGTTATCAATTATTTATTTATTCAAATAAAAAAAAATAGAAATATTTGTATCTTAACAAAATTGTACTAAATCTTAGCCTACAAATAACATATTTTAATAGGAAATGTGTTCAAATGTTATATTATCTACATTGTTAGCAAATAATGGAATGCTCCTAAAGGAAGAAAACAATACAACCTAATAATCAAATTAAAAATGGAAACGACCTGTGCACGACCTACAAGCATGCTTGATAAGTGCTCTATGGATATAATAATGTATTAGCGATACGTTGTGATGGTTAACATCTATGAAAGGCTAAAAGTTTTTGTGCACATTTTTAACTGGTATGGATATATTAGTCGCATTGGTTATCTTCATTTTTGCGCATTCCACTACACAATTTAATGTGGCTCGGCCAATCAGAAGACTGGCAGTTAGGACAACAGTACGTCTGACTGTGGCAAAGAGAGCACTCAAACTGGCCCACCAAACCACAGACACATAGCTTGTACATATCTGGAAACAAGAAATAAAATATACATCTGAATTTTATAAGAGACGTCATGTATATATCGATTAATTATGAATGAATATAATTGTTTAAATATAAAATAAAATAATAATAATAATAATAATAATAATAATAATAATAATAATGATGATAACAACAACAACAATAATAATAATAATATAATAATAAGAATACGAATAAGAATAATTTTACATGTTTAAACCGCATAATGCCAGAGCTTTTATGCGCTTAACATAAACAAAAATAGAGAAAAAATAACTAAAACAAGAAACAACCTAAAAGTAACAAAGACAGCCATGGAAAGTTAAAACCATCACCACCGACAATTTAAGGTACATTATTTCAAAGCGTGCCATAATGGTGTGGTTAGCTAGCTCAAAAATCTAAAATCAAAAACAAACATCAGAAAAAAAATAATTAAAGTGCTCCAAAGAGAATGATGGTTTTCAAAGCACATTTGAGGGAAGAAACTGTTGCGCAGGATTTTATATCGCCAGAGGTTGCGTGTTCTAAAGTATCTGAGTTTCCAGTCTGAGTTGCGAAGACGACCTAAGAATTGAGCGTTGATGGTTGACCAGTTGTGTGATGTGAACAGAAGTTTTGATTGAAGAGCTTTGAAAGTGGTGAGAAGAATCTTGAAGGTAAGCCTCTTCTCAATGGGCAGCCAGGATTGAGTATTGGGGTTATGTGAGGAAATGGTTTACTGCACGTTACAATGCGAGCAATCGTGTTCTGTATCCGCTCTAGTTTAGTAATTTCCGACCTAGGTAATTCATACAAAAGATTAATACATCAATCCAGACGTGAGGTAATAAAAGCATGTACCAGTCTAAGTGTTCTTTCTAATGCTGCCTATTTAACTGATTCCTGAAAATCATGTTCTACGTTTTTAATGTGCTGCTTAAATTGCATTGATGAATCGAATACAGAACACAAGTTAATTACTTCTGCATTGATACCAATGATAACAGAGCTTATTGGGGGGTTTAAAATTTGGAAACAACATGGATTATCTCGGTCTTTGTCTCGTTCAGTAGAAGATTGTTAGCTACGACCCAAGATTGAACATCAAGAAAACAAGAAGAAAACTTTGTTACTTCAAGCGATCTGTCAGATGGTTTAAACTGGTAGTATTACTGTACATCGTCTGCATAAAGAATGACCATGAATCCCTGAGTTTTGACAATTTTTTCCAGAGAAGTGTGAATATGACAAACGATAGCGGTTCATTTCATGCGATGACACACCCAGAATAACAACTGAATATTTACGTTCGGTCATTTATGATTTTTAATCAATAATAGGCGCTTCCACTGAGCCCAAACTGGAACTTAAGAAGCCTAAGAAGTTTAAAATGTTCTATTCTATCGAATGCTTATGAAAAATCAAGTAAAGCAAGAACCTAATCTCATTTGTGAAGAGCTGACGTGACATTTTTTTTTCAACGCCAAGTAGAGCTGTCTCAACACTATGGCAAGGGCGACGGGCAGATTGCTTCTCAGCTAAGAGGTTGTGTTGATGGATATGAGTTTAAACCTGAAAGGCGACAACTCTTCCCAAAAGCTTGCTCAAGAAGGGTAGATTAGAAATTGGTCTAAAATTTGAAAGTAACTCAGTGTCCAGTCCCTGTCTTTTAAGAACAGGTGTCACATTGGCAAACTTAAATCATGTTGGAAAAATGCCAGAAGTCAAAGAGTGATTTATGTTTGTATAATGGTGGGCAGACAAATATTCAGATACTTCTTAGTGAATGCTCTAGGAAGGGGATCCAGATTAGATTATTTATTTATTGTTTGAGATAATATCATTATTAAACATCACTTGCATAATCCCACAATTTTCCTTACCGCTTCCTGCAATGCAGCGAATAAGAACACTATCGGACGCATATGTCTCATGGACTTTCTTCCTCTTCTCACATGCGCCGTCGATGTCTTGCAAACTCTCATTCAGCAGAGCGAACGGTTGTTCCGGAAGCTTGTAGCCTAGTTCTTTTTTAATGTCTTTACGTAAATCACCGAGGGTTCCAACTAAGTTTGCTGACAGTACACCGACTTTTGTGAAGTTATTGTTATCAGGACTGAAGAGCATAACATACATGTTGGCACGGTCTTCCAATACTAGCAACACACAAAACATAATTTATTCACAATTACAAAATGGTTAAATAATGATACGTTTATCAGGTAGGTTTTCTGATGTTATTAAACTAATCAATTTATCAAGCTGGCTACAAGTCTTTGCATTCTAAAATTACCATAAATTTTCTAAAATGCGGCTCTCTCGACTATTCGCCGCGTGTGTGAAACGTATATATAAGATGTGTATAAGAGACAGACCTACAAGCATGCTTGATAAGTGCTCTATGGATATAATAATGTATTAGCGATACGTTGTGATGGTTAACATCTATGAAAGGCTAAAAGTTTTTGTGCACATTTTTAACTGGTATGGATATATTAGTCGCATTGGTTATCTTCATTTTTGCGCATTCCACTACACAATTTAATGTGGCTCGGCCAATCAGAAGACTGGCAGTTAGGACAACAGTACGTCTGACTGTGGCAAAGAGAGCACTCAAACTGGCCCACCAAACCACAGACACATAGCTTGTACATATCTGGAAACAAGAAATAAAATATACATCTGAATTTTATAAGAGACGTCATGTATATATCGATTAATTATGAATGAATATAATTGTTTAAATATAAAATAAAATAATAATAATAATAATAATAATAATAATAATAATAATAATGATGATAACAACAA